GTTGCTTTCACTTTCTTCGTCTTCCAGTTTCTCAATCGTTCTTTACGATTCTCATTCGTCAAATCTTCCTCCCAGAGCTTGAACAAGGTACGTACATTGCGAAACCCTAGCTTTTTCTGAAATGAGATTGAAAATCCGAAATCTGTAGTTACTGTTCTTCATCTCTAGATTCTTGGTAAGTGACATCGGAATTTCTTTAAGGTTTTAGCGGAATCGAGTTTTGTTGGTGGTTTAGTCTTCGTTGAAGTTCGTTTTTCTAGGGTTTTTGATTCCGATAACCTCCGTTTTCATATTTGTTTGTTTGTTTGTGCATCTAGATTTCTCATGGCGAAAAGATCTGATACTACTTCTCCCGCGACAGACGGAACTGATGGTGGTGGTGTCGAACCTCCGAGATCTGATCAACCCGGAGATCTCACCGGTGCTGCAGCCGTGACAGGTTCTCAGAAACGTGGCCGTGGTCGACCTCCGAAGGCTAAATCCGGCGATTCTAACCAAAACGGCGGCGTTTCTGCTCAGCCGATTAGGAAAAGTGGTCGTCCGAAAAAAGCTGGAGCTTCTGAAGCATCTGCTTCCACTGCGTCTGCACCGGCTGCTGTGAAGAAGAACCCTGGTAGGCCAAAGAGGTCAAACACTGCGACTCAGGCTGCGTCTACTACTGTAGATGGTTCAAGGAAGCGAGGAAGGCCAAAGAAAGATGATGCGACGGTTGCTGCGACTGTGGCTCCAGCTGCGAAGCGTGGAAGGAAATCTAACACTGGAGAAGTTGCCAAGAAGACTGTGGGCAGAACAAGGAAGGTATATTCTCTTTTTCTTTCTTGAACAAAATGTCAAAATTTGGTCTTATAATACAAAGTATATGGTTTGTTCTTGATTGTTTGTTGTGTGCATAGAGTGGGGAAATAGTTCAGAGTATTATTGTATTATTTGTCTCTGGTCTCAAATTTGGTATACTTCCAAGTGTGGAGTATCTGAATATTCCTTTAACATTTCTGGAAAATGATGTTCATTTGATCTGAAATTTGGTGCATTTGATCTTTGGTCTAATGTGAAAATGCAATTGGTTGGTTTACT